TACTTTCAGCCCCCCAAATTAATTTCTTTCACCCCCCTTTCTTTCCCTCCCTTTATTTTCCTTTTTTCTCTCTTTCTTATATATTACTTCTCTTTTCACCCTTTCCTTTATTTTCCTTCCCCCTTTCATGTATTTTTCATTTTCTCCCCTTTCCTATATTTTCCTATTTTCCCCTTTTCTTCCCTTTCCTATATTTTCCTACCCCTTTTCTGTGCTTTCCCTTTTTCCCCCTTTCTTCCCCTTTTTTATACTTTCCTTTTTCCTGCTTATTTTTTTTTTACTTCTCTCCCTCCCTGTTATTTCCTTCCCCCACCAAGGGCTTGTCCCTGTTGCATTCACATTTTTCCTTTTTTTTTTTTTTTTCTTTCTTCTTATTTCTTTCCCCAGGCACCTGCTGAGCCAACTTTCTAGTGGTTTTCCATTCCCTTAATACTTAAAAAACCAGTTTAGAGGACAGGACTACAGCACAGCTTCCAAGGGGAAGATGCACTCATCCACAGAGCCAGTGAGAAGGAAAAAAAGCAAGAAGTTTGGAATAGTGAATGATTTGACAGTGATCATATTTTTTTTTTTTTGCCACAAATTTTGGTGTCTCTGCATTCCTTTTCTTTGTTTTTCCTTTTTTTTTTTCCTTTCTTTCCCATTGAAGCCCCACTTCACATAATTAGGTGAGACTCTTGGCTATCAATTTTTTGAAATAAAGTTTCTAGCCTCCCTGGTTTTGGAGGAAAAGCTTGAAAACATGAACCATGAAGACCATAATAAAAGCATGTAAAGATATTATTTTTCAAGCCATATGATGACTATGCCCATCACATAATTTCTTTAAGTGTATTGGATCAGTGGGAGGGGGGTTTAGGAGAACTTGTTGCATTTTCTTCGTGCTGAGGTTGGAAAATGCTGTAAAATCAGCTTGTAATTTTCAATGTTAATATCAAAGTGTTTCTTCATGCTGAAATTTAACATGGGAAATTTGTCTGCTTCCTTCCAGTGCCTGATCCTCATCCATGTGCAGGTTCAGGAGGGTCTCAGAAGCAGTAAGTAACTTGTATTTTGTTCCCTTTTTAATAAAATATTCCAGTCTTTGCAACCCGAATAGGAACCCTGCATTTTTATTTTCATTAATGCTGGCATCTGTACGCCACTTTTTATGCCAAACTGTGTTTTTTCAGCCAAAACTTTTACCTGCAGAGTCCCAGCAGAGCTGTCTCCATCAGTGTGTGTGGTTTTGAGGACCGATTGACCTATTGCATGTGTTTGCAATAAAAAAGTAGGAATATTTCTGGAGCAGTTGAAACAAGAGGACCAAGATGGCTTGATATGATGTGGATGTTAATTATTAATCTGAATTTATTGCCCTGTTAGCACCTCGATGTCACAGTGCACAAGATTGTCTTTATTGTGCTGGGAGCTGCTCACTTCCCCACCTGCCTTCTCCTCCCTCCCACCCCCCCAAAAAAAATTGGAGGAAAGCAAAAACTTCTTCCTTTAAAAAATGGGAAATTAAGCTACAAAGAAGTGATGTACATGAGAGCGTGGAGGGAGTCTGAGGGGATTTCAATTTTCATCAGTTTGTGGAGAACTTGGTAAAAAAATGAGTTGTGTTGCTGGGAAAAGTCATGCAGTAAAATCAATTATGAAATGAGTAAGTTGATTATTTTTATTTTTTTTTTCCATGGGAAAGGAGCCTGGTTTTGAGCTGAAATGGGAGCTGTGTATGACTGAGAATAAGTAATTGGTTTAGCCTAAGAAAACAGACATTTATAAATGGAGAAAGCAGGGAGTGGGAGATGTTCTGGTTTCCAACAGGTTTCCAGTTGAGTCCTTGAGCTTTTCAGTAGTTTGAAGCGAGAGGACACAGGTCTGCCAGGGCTGTGATGTCCTCAAAACTCAGCCTGGAGCAAAGGAGGCTCAAGGGGGCCCTTCTGGCTCTGCACAGCTCCCTGACAGGATGGGGCAGCCCGGGGGTGTCAGGCTCTGCTCCCAGGGAACAGGGACAGGATGGAAGGAAATGGGCTCAGGCTGGGCCAGGGGAGGCACAGGTTGGACACCAGGAGGAATTTCCCCATGGAAAGGGGGTATTGAAGGGTATTGAAGGGGCTGCCCAGGGAGTGGTGGGGTCCCCATCCCAGGAGATATCCAAGGATCTCCCTGGATGTGGCACTCAGTGCTCTGGACTAGGTGACAAGGTGGGGATTGGTCTTGGGTTGGATGATCTTGGAGGTCTTTTCCAACCCAAATGGTCCTGTGATTCTGTGATCACTGCAGGCTGAATTGCAGCTGAGGTCTACCCGTGGTCAGTGAACACCATGAAGCATCTCACACTTTCCATTCTGGAATCACACATCTCTGATAATCCCTGCAGGCACCAAACAGTCTGAGATGTCGAGGTAAAACCAGAGATTAAAGGGATTTGTAGTTGTTATCCCACTCATTGTACATTTTTTTGTACAGCATCACTGGCCACTTCCTCATCCAGCTCGTGTTGCATTAAAAATTCCAAGTGTGTTATTTGATCTATCCAGCAGGAGAGGGGAAGGGTTTTATACAGCCTGTGCCTTTTGGCATCTCTAATTCCTCAGGCTCTTGCAAACATGGGCTTAAAAGTCCTGCTGCCTTAGAAACTAGGTGCCATCATTTAAAAAAAAAAAATCTTTTATTATGAGCTTAAGAGGTGGCTGTGAGCTTACAAAGGGGGTAAAATATAAAACTGGAGGGTCTTGTTCCTCTCAACGTGGGTCCCTGGCAAAGAGCTTAGTGCACCTGTCAGTTATTGAGTACGGCTTAGGGAAAGCAAGCAACGTAATGGGAATAATGTTCTGCCTTTGCAACTTGTATTTCAAAGCAGTTCCAGGGGTCTGGGCTGTCCCAGGGCACAGGGTGGAAGGTGGGGAGTGGGTTTTTCATGAGTGTTGCTGGCCCAGAGAGATGCAAAGGGAAAGCTGTGGGTCAGGGCTTCCTCCTCCATCCGTGGTGAGCTGGGGCTTTGGGCCAGTGCTTGGGAATCGAGGATTCTGTTTGCTGTGTGGCCACAGGGACAGGTGTGACAGCTTGGGATGTGCTCTGTGAGCCAGGCAATCACCAACTGTGCAAAACCTAACCAAGACAAGTGCTGGACTCTGCACCATGGATGCACAGCCACCCTGGGGAACGAGAGGCTGGAGAGCAGCAGGGATCTGGAAGTCCTGGTCGATGGCCAGTTGGATCTGAGTCAGCAGAGCCCTGGAGCCAGGAGGAACATCCCTGTCCTGGGGAACAGCCTGGCCAGGGAGGGGATTGTCCCTCTCTGCTCTGGGCTGGGGCTGGGGCTGCCTCACCTCCAGTGCTGAGGGCAGTTCTAGATCAGAAAGCTCTAAAGCTGTTAGAGAGCCTCCAAAGGAGGGACAGAAGATGGTGGAGGGTACAAGGAACAGCTGAGGGCACGTGGCTTGTTCAGCCTGGAGAAGACAGAGGTCAGACCTCACCGGGGCCTGCAGCTTCCTCTGAAGGGGCTCTTGAGCCCAGGGTGGGAATTTTGGGGTGTTCAGGGCCAGAAGTTGGACCTGATGATCCTTGTGGGTCACTCTCATCCTGAAGGAGCTCTCCCACAGGGACCAGTGGCTGTGACAGCAGTTACAGCAGGACAGCTGTCCCCTGGTCCAACCGAGCTGCACAGCAAACCTCTGAGTCTGCAGAGTGAGAAGGAGGACCTTGTGATGGGCAAGCCTGGGGAGTTGTTGCTCAGGGCTTCACAGAATCCCAGAGTGGTTTGGGTTGGAAGGGAGCTTAAAGCTCATCCTGTCCCACCCCTTGCCACAGGCAGGGACACCTTCCACTATTCCAGGGTGCTCCAAGCCCTGTCCAACCTGGCCCGGGACACTTCCAGGGATCCAGGGGCAGCCACAGCTTCTTTAGGCAACCTGTGCCAGGGCCTCAACACCCTCCCAGGGAACAATTCCTTCCCATTATCCCATCTAACCATGCCCTCTTTCAGTCTAAAACTGTTCCTCCTTGTCCTGGTGCCCCAGGCCCTTGCCCTCTTTAGATGTCTTGGAGCTTCTTTAGGGCTCTAAGGTCTCCCTGGAATTTTCTCTTCTGCAGGTGGACACCTCCAGCTCTCCCAGCCCATCTTCATAGGAGAGGTGCTCCCTCCCTCTGACCATGACTTCCTTGCAGATGGGTGTTTGGTTTTCCTTTAGGCTTGGCTAGAAGTGTTTAAAGGAGCTCTGGGTGGCTCTTTGCAAACCTTGGGGACTTGGGTCAGCCTCGTGGCCTCAGGTGCTGGCTTCCATCTCACACTGACACCCAGGAGGGGTGGCTCTGCCAGCTGGGCTGCACTGGCCGCTTCATTTAGCCTTGTGACCAGTGGCTGGGCTATTTTTTTCCAGTTAACATTGACTGCTGGATCTCCAGGAGGTTTGCTGCTTACTTCCAGGCTAAGTGAAGGGGATTTGTCAGCACTCAGCTCTGTTAGACTTTGATATAACAGCGTGTTCATCAGGCCCGAGCGTGGTACACGGAGGAGGAGGATTGCAGCAGAATTAGAAGGTATAAAGTTCAAACCTAATTTGAAGAATTTTCCCTCTATCACTTAAATGTGGGAAATGTTCCTGTGGCTTCAGGGATAAAATGTCACACTTCATAAGGAGCATGCGTTTTAAATCTCAGCCAGATATTAAGTGCCGTGTGCCGCACTCCACTTCTCTCTTTGTTAAAAAGCAAAACCCCAAACCATCTCTCCTGAAAGAGTGTTGTTTGATAAAATTAAAGCTGTCCAAAGAAGCTGGTTCAAATACTGCCAGCTCTGTATCATTATGACACAACAGGGAGTGGATTGATTTTATTCTGCATTGACAACAGTTCATCAGTGCTCAGCTATTTAATTATATAGGATGCCGTTCCTAAAGATGCCTACAGCACCAAGAGAGCATTCAGTACAGACTGGCAATACACACCAGATGTCTTTTGGGTGAGAAAGAAACAGAAAAAGGGATCAGACTTGGGCTTCTGGCAATTATCCAAGTAATTTGTAAGCAGACGTTTTAGGACATTGGTTGGCTTGAAGGTTTGTCTTCAGCTCGGGAGTTTTTAATAAATTCACACAAACCCTCTGTCAAGCTTTAGTCACTTATAGGGGCAAAGTTCACTTCTATATCATCCTACAACCCAAATACTGGAAATAAGTAGCATTTGTTGTGAAGATATACTCAGTATGGCATGTGGAATGGCACTTCTAGACAGACCCTTCTCAGTTCTGCTAAGATACACAGATCCTCTGACCACTTCCTCACTTTACAGGCTCACCACCAGCAAACTGAAGTGCTTTATGTACTTTTCTCATGATTTTGAAAAATGACAAAGTTTAGCTCTTAACACCAGCTTTTGTGCACATTAATTGCTGAAAGCTTCAAGAAATTCTCATGCAAACGCTAACACAGCCTCAGCTGCTGTCTGCTCCCTCCAGCTGCAGTGGGATTTTAGCTGACCCAAGCCTCTGTGTCTCATGCTGTGGCCAACAGGAGGTTTGGTGGGACCAGCTGGAGAGCCCAGGGTTGGTGAGAAATCAGAACACCAACTTGTATTTTGCTTGCCATGGCCCAAAGGGGAGGAAGATGCTGGTCTCTGTTTATTCCTGTGCTGTTTGGTGGTCTTTCTGCTCATGAAAAAAAAGAGCTGTGAGGTGTCATCATGAGTTTACAGGTCAGTAGTCTGGGCTCCAGCCATCCCACTCCATGCACAGGGCACAGAGGCTGCTGGAAAGTCCTTTGTACTCCAGCTGGTGTCTCTGAGCAGGACCAGGGTGCAGAAAACCACGAGTCAGGGGCAGTGGAAGCAGCCCAACCCTGCAGAGATCAAATCTGCATCAGGAAGATCCCCATCCAGACCTGGCTGAGGAGAAGCATTTGAGCTCTGGGACTGGAAGTGTTTAAAGCCAGAACCGAGAGTGACTCAGGGCTAGAGGAGAAGGGGATGTTTGCCATCTGCTTTAGCAGCTCATTCCCCAGAAAGGGAGGAGGAATTCATCTGCTATTCGTGCACGTAGGCAGTTGTTTCATTGTGTTTTGTTTTGTTTTCCCTCCCACTCTCCAGTAAAACACCTGTTGAGTTAATCTTCTTTGACTCAGCTCAAAAGCAAGGAAGTCAAACTCTGTGAGAGGCTGAGCAGCTCAGCTCTCATTTCCCCAGGTTTCTGAGGGGGGCTCTAATGGCTGTGTTTTAAAGATTTCCAGAAGTGAAACTATTAGAGGGAGGACTTGAGGTGAGGGAATACTTAATTTTGCTGGACAAGAATGACTTGAGTCACAAAGAGTTAGTCTGGAAGGCAGAGATACCTTGGAGCTTCCCAAGTTGTTCTTGAGGATGGTGAGAAACATTTTAGAGGCTTCATTTTGGTGCATCTTCAATGAATTTGAATAAATCTGATTTAAAACAAAATACTGATCCTGTTACTAAATTGGATGTGTCCTGCTTTGTTTAAAACTTAAAAGTTGAAAGCAAGCAGAGCAAAATGTCACGAGAAAGAACTTGCAGAACACAGTGATTCTGCAGGGCACCACAAGCCATCAGCAGCTGAAATTTGGTGACGACGTTTGCTTCTGCAGATGTGCTGGGTGCACTGTGCAAGGGAAGAAGGTCCTCCAGAGGGGCCCCTCTGTGTCCTCTCTGAGCTCTGGAAGAAGCTGATGCTCTCTCAGGATCCAGCCTTAAGTGCTGAGGATGAGGAGTTTCCCTCCCCCCTCCCCCAAAACCTGTGGGTTTGGGCTCTAGGCATGTTATTTCCAGTACGTGGTGACTCAGTTTCCCTCTGGGGTGTCCCAGAATGAGTCAGGTTTAACTGACAGGGTTGCATGGATGAAGCAACCCCAGCAGGTTGTGCCCTGATCATTAATTACCTGCAGCCAGAGCTGGGGGGTTAAGGAGATGCCAGCCAGGGCTGCAGGGACAATGCGAGCCCAGCGTTGCACGTGCGTCACTCCTGCGTGGAAACGAGTGAGAAACCTCGCACTTCTTTTTTCCTCCTCCCGGTTCAACTTCTTGTGCTATAAATAAACCCAGTGTGTGAGAAAAAAAAATAAAATAAGAATAACAAGGGGCTGTAGCTTTTTAGGTGCCTGTGGCAGGATGTTTTCTTGCTTATCCTGTTTCTTGTAAACACGGCGATGACTTTTGTGGCCCAGATGTAGAGGCAGCCCTGCTTCATTGTTCCAACACCTGCTGGCTGTTCAAATGGACCCAGTGCAGCCCATTGATAAAAATTCAGACTCAGAAACCTGCAGCACCAGGCTGAGCTCCTGTAGATAGCTCAAAAAAAAAAAAAAAATCCTTGAGGATCTGACATCCGCCTTGTTGAGCTTTTTTTTTTTTCTTTTTCTCTATTATATTTGATTGGGAGGGGAAGGGAAGCATAAGATTTATATTTTTTTTTCCCTGCTCTTGTTCTCACAATAGCAATAAAAACAATACTCCTTGGCTTGGAGGCGGTAAACTGTGAGAAATAACAACAATAGCTGACTGTGATTGTGCAGCCAAATTTATGAATGAAACTAGTGGGTGCAATTTAATTTCCAGGCCTGGCTCTGCTTTTTGGTGTTATGGAATGAAATAAAAAGGCCAGAGAAGGAGCAGCTTGTAAGGGCAGCACGGCTGTCACTGGGAGTGAGCACAGGGAAAGGTTTGGTCTGAGATGGAGAAGGGGTTTTTCTTCTTCCTGCATCTCAAAGTATGAGACAGGTGAATTTGCTCCAACAGTGGCATTGCAGCATTTTCTTTATTGGACACCAGTGTGTGGTGGTGGGACACCTTTGAGGCAGCAGCTCTTCCTAGGTTGGCTCTGTGGGGTAAATGAAGCAGGTGGGTCCTAGCTGGGATAGGTCTGCTTTGGGAGTGCACACCAGGGCCACCAAGTCTGGGAAGAAAGGGGGTAAAAAAAAGGGGAAGAAAAGCACCAGGGGTACTTGTTTTTGCAGATGAAAGTCAGTGCTTAGCCCAAGTGGTTCTTTGGATGGGGCTTAAGGGCTAAAACCTGCTTTTTGGGGAGGACTTTTTATGTTTGGAACCAGAGGTTGGAGTTGAGGTGTTCAGCCAGGACTATTTGTGTTTCAGCAGCCTCTCCTCACCCAGGAGATTTGCTCTCCACAGTGCTCAGAGCAGGATTTTTGCTTGTGTTGAGATCTCTTGCACCCTTCCCTGCTCCTCACGTGTCCCCCACCTGTGCCTTTGGCTGCAGGAGCAGAGGGGACGTGCTGGGTTTGTTTCCTGCTGCTTTGAGCAGGGATTTGGAGCAGATGGGGCTGTGAGGATCCCTTCCAGCCTAAATTTCTGTACACTCATCCTGCCAAGAGAGGCAGATGCCAACAGTGAGTCCTCACAAAGGCCTGAAATGGGTCAAAGGCTTTGTCTCCCCTCTGAAAATGAGAGGTGGGGCTCTGAGGGAAGCAGTCCAGTCCCAAAATGATTTTTCTGCCTGAGACAGGTGAAACCAGGTGGCCAGATGTGGCCAGGCCCAGATGTTGTGCAGGGAGAAGGGCAAGGTTTGAAGGATTCCTTGCTGGGAGTGTCCCTGGGGTGTCCTGGGAGAGGGGACACCAGCTGTGGGATGGAGCTGTGGGGGGACTCCTCTCCTCAGCAGCCCATCCTCTGGCTCTCCCTCCTCGCTGGGGGCCCGGGGAGGGAAGCACCAGAGGATAAACATTCCTGCAAGCCTCCCTCTGCATCTGCCTTTGATTACGGCTCCCCGAAAGCCGCGCGTGGATGTCGGCGTGCGAGGGGAGCTGCCGTGTGCCGGGACCTGGCTGCCACCCCAAAGGCACCGTGGGCACCAGCCAGCTCCTGCTGGATCATGAGACACATGGGGATCTGGGGGTGGGACAGGAGAACCTCCCAGCAGCCGGCTCCCGGGAGAAATTTGGCTCTTAAATCCAATTATATCTGCAGACTGAGCTCTTTGTCCTCACTGCTGTCCATGCGGGTGCAGCCTTTGCTTCGAGTCTCTTCAGACTTGTTAATGGCCGTGTTTAAAACCAAGAGAGCAAGGAGCTGGAAGGTGCTTCACGTCCTCAGCCTTCTCCTGCAGGCTCTTTCCAAGGGGAATGCCTGTTTGCTGATGTCATTTCATGAGGCTCAATGTCAGAACTCTGCTCCGTTCGCTGGAAAAGCTGTGCTGACCATGCCAAATACTCACATGAATTTTTCTAGCGAGGTGTCCTTGATGACCTTTCACGGTAATTACAGCAGTTGGGAGATGTTTGCTCCAGGCAAACTTCTCTCTAAGGTCCTCAGCCTTGTGCTCTGAGTTGTTTTGGATTTCCCCTTCCACATTCTCCTGGAAAATAGCAGTGTGGCCTCTAATGTCTTACTTTTCCCCTAAAACCTCTCAGTCGCTGTTGGGAGGCAGTGAAAGCTGCTGGGGATTTTCACAAACAACCCGAATATAGGTTTAAGGAAGCATTTATATTTCCTATTTATGTTTTGTTTTTAAACTCTGACTTCCAGAAACACCTTTTTTTTTTTTTTCCCAAGAAAAACCCAGACAATCAGACTGTTTCTTTTAAAACGTGTGAAAGATGAAGGATGAGGCGTCGAGTTTCCTTTCAAGCGATTCTGAGTGAAACCGAAGCCTTTTTGAAGTGGTTTACTGCAATTGTAGTTTGCTTTGCTTCCTGCTCCTGCTTTGGGCACACCTCCCAGCCCCTTGTGTGTGGCTACAGGCGCTGGGGGAAGTTGGAAGGCCAACAAAAGGCAAGGGGGCTCTAAAATCTTATTTCTTTTTCTATTTCGAGTGCTGCCAACGAGACGTTGCGTTTTATTCCTTCCTACCATGGAGGCACAATGTCTCCCCCAGCATCAGCACCAATAGAGGCAGGGAGGGGTAGGGAAGGAATGGGAATAGATTTCATGCTGGATGAGTCTCCAGACTGTGGGCAGGGTAAAAAAAAGCTTTGTTTAGTCTGCAGTCAGTAGTTTTAGCAGGAGCCCTAGGCCCAGAGCTGGGAAGTTTGGTGTCCTGTGCTCAGGCTGATGTGATTTACAGTGTTGGGATCTGACTATGGGATTGACAGAGCCAAAGCAGAGGGAAAAGCGTGTGGAGAGCTTGTCTCTGTGCCAAAGGGTGGGAAGCTCCTTCCCCATGGCCACATTTCTCCTCATGGCCAGGTCCATCTTTCTGTGATATCTGGACCATTTGCCACGCTGGAACTGCTCTGGCAGAGCTGTCTGAGGGACCTTGGGATGCACTGGGTGAGGATGAAGGAAGATTAGGATGGCTTTGATGCTGCAGGAGGGTTGGGGTATGGTGAGTGATGAAGGTTAAGGACATTCCTGCCCAGCTCTGGCTGCCTTCGTGAGACTGGGAAGCGCCTCCTGAGCCCCTCCTGGCTTAATTCCTTCAATAAATAGGATCTTTCCAGAGCAGGAGTGCACCAGCTTGGTGAAAAGCTGGGACTTGCAGCAAGGCTGTGGCTTTGTACCACCATGGTCTTGCCAGTTCCTCCTTTTTGATTTTGGTGCCAACACCATCAGAGGAGCTGAATGCCTGAATTTTCTTAGTGCTTTTTCAGAGCAATATCTGTTCTCCTTGCTTGATCAACATATCTGTTAATTATATTAAAGTAATCTGACCCTGGGCTCTTGCAAAAAACTCCTCCTGCTGCTGAAGGTGGTGGAAACTCTCCCTGAAGTGATCAGCAAAGCAGCACATGTGGGATCAGAGGGTGGCTGGGGGATCTGGGCACGCCCAAGCCCTGGAAAACACCCTGGATGGTAAAGGTGCATCAGCTCTCTGATACCCTGGTGATGTTGGTCTCACACTGGCCTCACATCCCTTTGTGGCTCCAAATCCAGAGTCTGGCAAGGAGCATACAGTCCCTCAGAGATGCAGCTTGCACTGCTAAAGAAGCCTGGAAAAGTGGAGAGCAGCCTTTCCCTTTAGCTCGTGCCTGGCCCAGGGAGGAGCAGGATTGAAGCACGTACCTAAATTCAGCATGTGCTTAAGTGCTGTCCTGAATGGGGACCCTCTTGAGCTTTAGCTGAAGCGCTGTTCTGAACCAGGGCCAGCAGAGTGTGGAAGTCAGCTCTTGTTGCCACTACCCCACTGTGTTTGTGCCCATTGCAGCTCTCTGGCTGTTTACTACAAGGAGAAAATCACTTTATTTACTTGCAGCTCACTCAGTAACTGAGAGCAGGCCAGTTGGGAGAGTCTCACATCAGCTGGGAGCGAGACATCTGACCTTGTCTCTTGTCTGTCTTGTTTCTATGATCCTAATTCTGCTCTAAATTAATTCTTTTGTTTAGCTGCTGGGTTGTTTTTTTTTTTCCTCCTTTTTGTTTTCACATGAATGCTTGTCTCTATATTTAGGTCTGCCGGGGCGGGATGTTATGAATAATTGTTGATTGATATTATTAAACACTAACACGCTTGGCTGTGTTGCACTAATGATGGGGCTTTGGGGATATGCAAATCAATTAATTGCAGTAATTGCTGTAATAGCTGTTTTGGAGGAGGCTGCTGAAGAGCCCTTGGGAGAGCGGACAAAGACGGAGACGTTTGGAAGTGCAGAGGAGAAGGGGCGCTCGAGTGTCTTTGGAGAGGGCTCCTTCAAGCTGCCAACTTGTAAAGTTGGGTTTGTTTTGCTCTCCAAAACCCACTCACACCAAATCCTCTCTTGCTTTGTTTCAGAGTTACCCCAGCATGGCTGCTTCTGGACTTTTCTGCTGCGGAGGACCTGAAGAAGCTCACAGATGAGACAGAGCCTTTTCCAGGTAATCTCTCACCTTAGAATTCTGGGAGACCTCCCTGGAAAACACTCAAGGGGGGGGAAAAAACATCTCCAAGGCTAAACCTCTGCGTCACCTCGCAATCAAGGGCTTGGGTTTGTCAGCTGATTCTCATTCATGTCCAAGCAGCATCACGGGGCCTCACAGTGGGCACAAAGGGACGTGAGGTGCCTCAGCAGCCACGGTGGGAAGGCTCTGAAGGGATTGGGATTTTGGGTATTGTGAGGATGGGGAGGAAAAAGTCTCCTCTGGCTTCTTCCCCATGCTATATGTGCTTTCCCTGCCTTTGTGTATTATTGTATATTCTTTTGTCTGGCTTTCCATATGCAACGTGCCTCAGTCTCCGTGCTCCAGGGCGGGTGTTCAATGTGGTGCACAGATGGTGCTCCCAGAAATCCCCTTATTTGCTAATGGGATTTTGTGCTAAGCGTTTCCACTGTTCTTTTCAAAAGTCTGCGTGTTTGTGTCAATATGCCCAGACCCCCATCTTGCAGAGCCACCCTCTCCCATGCAGCTGAGAACACCACTTTATTTCTTTATTTGCCTGCTCTTTAAATCCCTGGGAGGGATGTCAGGACAGCTTTTGTGGGAGGCAATGGTTGCAGGACCCAGGCAGCTCTCACCTTGCACAGTGAAGCAGGGTCAGGATGACTGGGGCTGGAAGGGACCTCTGGAGATCCTCCAGTCCAACCCCCTGGGTCACCTGGAGCAGGTGACACAGGAACACATCCAGGAGTGTTTGGATGTTTCCAGAGAACGAGACCACCCTGGGCAGCTCTGCCAGATGTCACAACCCTGCTGGGTGACAAGGGCACTCCACCTTGCTGGTGGCCCTGCCCTCACATTTTGTACTGAGATGTACTTACCTATTCAGCAGCTTCCCCCGGGGTCCTGCAGCATTTCAGTAATGCAGTGTTCAGCTATTATGCAGCTATTCCCAGCTATTATGCAGCAATTCCCCTCTGTGCCCTCCATTCTTCACGCAGTGCTCAAAATCAGGATATAAATAGCAAAAACCTGGAATATGTTGCTTTTGTTACCAGAGGCCTTTCAGAATAGGTTAGATGTGTGCCTGACGTGGATAATACAGTGCTGACTCTTCCAACGGGGCACAGAGCTGGACTAGGTGACCTCCTGAGGTCTCTTCCAGCCCTCATTTTTCCATCCCTGTGTGACATGCCCTGCTAGTGGGTAAGTGGAGCTTTGTTTTGTGTGACGCTGGCTGGAGCAAGGTCAGGGGTGTGTGTCAGGAAGTCTGCACACCCATGCAGTGTGTGCACTGCATTTCATCCCGTGAAAAGCTCTTCTCCTGGACGCTTCTCAGGCTCCTCTGCCACGGGAAGGTGAGTCAGACCAAGGCAGAGGCTCTCCTGGAGCTGGCCAAGGACTCCAGGTGGTTCCTCTGGAGCTGAGCTTAACCAGAAAAATCTCATCGCAGCCCTGGTTCACAAAGTCCGGGCAGCCCAAGGCAGGAAAACTGCCAGGGGCTGTTCCTGTTGTGATACAGGGCCACTGAGATGGTGAATTTGGGATCAGGAGCTGGCAATGGCTCGCTTACCAGGCAAAGAGAACCAGCTGTGGGATACTGCTATGTGCAGATTGACCCTTAGAGCCCCACGGTGCTTCTCTGAGCATCCAGGACTATGCTGTCCTCCAAAAGGGGACTCTCGGGAAACCCTCATCTTCAGCTCTGGGCTGGGGAGCTGTGCTAACAAAGTAAGGCTTGTGGTCACCTCCACAGGACCTGGATCTGTCTCCAAGTTTTGTCTGGACCATCGCTGCAGCTCTTGAACATCTGGCTGGCACGGTGTCAGTCCATCTGTAGTGACTGTGACTGTTTTGTCCAAAATTTGGGAGCTATGGGGGACTGTGGAGTACAGCTCTCAGAGCCCTCCTCAGCAGCAGAGTTTGGGAAATAACATTTTTTATGTCTGCAAAAGATGGCAGGGAACCGGCACTGACTCTTCTCTTCAGCGGTGCCCCGCTGTGATCCGATGTCTCTGTGGGGAAAACAGCTCTTCAGAGGTGTTGGCTTTCCGTGCCCATCAAGAAATACCTCTTTGCCTCGTGTTTTTGCAGCCTCTCAGCTTTGCTGATTTTATCACCCTTCTGATAAGGGTGATTAGATCTGATTTGTTTGAATTACAGCTGGGCTGCTTTCAGCTCTCACAGACACAACACGGTGCTGTGCGGGATTGGAGCAGGGGAGCCAGGAGGGAGAGCCTTTCTCCCCCTCTGATAATAGTTAGCAGATGTGATACCATTACCAGGTCAAGGATCTGAAATCACCCAGCAGCAGGAAAAACGCTGTGCTTGGCTGGCACTTGAAAGCCGTGCAGGGAAGGATGTGGCAAAGGCAGAAATCATCTCGTGCTCAGCGGCAGCTCGCAGCGCTGCTCTGCAAGGTTCCACAAGCTGTGGGGTATTTAAGCAGTCCTGCTTTGGTGGTTTGGCCCCAGGAGCTGTTCCTTACGTTTGGAATGCACCATTAGTGATGTCTTGTTAAAAATCAAGGCTGCCCATGGCTTGTTTATTGCTTGGAAGCTGTGAGCAGCCAGTTTGGCAGTGTGTCTTGTTTTTTGTAGATGTGATGTCCCATTTTTTCCCCTTTTTAGAGGCTGCTGGGCTACTAGAAAGACTTTTCCCCATGAACTAGGTTTTGTGCGAGGTTGGTGGTCTGCTGTGAGCCACACCATGATGCACACAATATTAAAACCCAGCTTTCTGTGTTATCAGGAACTTTTTTTTTCCCCCCTAAAGTCCTTGCAGTACCTTTCCAGGGCAGTTCAAAAAATCTGGGACAGGTCAGACAGATGACTGTGCCCTTGTGGCTTTGTCTTTTGATCTAGGGCCTGAAAATATGAAAGAAGGCACAATTCAGCTTGTGGGTTTGGTGCTGGTTTGGGCTCTGGGAGGAGCATGACTTCTGCCTGCAGGTGCATTTTTCTGCAAAGATTGGCCAGAAGCATCCCTAGTTCTTGCCCTCCTCACCCCTTTGCCTTGCAATCTCCTCTCCCTAGGGACTGAAATCATTGTGGCAAAAGCCTTTGTGGGATTGCTCTTTAGAAGAAGAAGGCTGTGCCTTAACTTTGGCTAGTTTCAGTGAGAGCAACATGCTTTGAAAGCCATTCCTGGGCTCCAAACAGCCCTTGGAAAAAGCCCTTCCCACGTTTCTGGCTGAAGGGGTGGTCATCAGATAGTAAGTGGTCACTCCTAGCACAGAGCTGCAGGAGTTTGAAGGAGACAAATGGGTGTGCTTACAGCATGCCAAGAGAGGACAAAATATCTGGGAATACTGGGATGAGTCTTGAGGAGCTGCATCTTTAAAAGCTTCCATGGGGAGGATGTGGCAGTTTCACCTGCACATGGAGGTGTGTGTTGGGAAGGAAAAGCTCAGCCTGGGCTGTGTTTTCATTGCTGCAGTGGGTGGTGGTTATGTGATCTACTGGTGGTCTCCTGGAAAAAGTCCTGTCCTTTTCTCTTTCCTCTGCTTTTTTTTTTTCCCCTTTTCCTTGCTCCCCTCACCTACAGCAAGGTGTCCAAGGTTAAGTTTAGGGTGAGAGAAGGGAAATCCATGTATTCAACTTGATGAATGGTTTCAGTTGAATGCAAGGCAGGGGCACAAGCGTGCATTTAAATAAATACCATATATTGGACTCTAGTTTGCTTCTCTCTTATGCTGATGGCACATTTTCTAGCCCCACAAGTGGCAAACCCTTCCAGGTGACGTTTGCCCATATTGAGAGCAGCTGGGAACTCTCCTGCCACTGCTCTTTGCTGCCCAATGGCCATGGGAAGCAAACTGCAACGCTTGCAGTGCGCCTGCTCTCTCCCACCTCCCCCCTACATCTCCTTCCCCAGCTGATTTGACCAGGTCACTCCCCAGCTTTGATTCTCTCCTCTTATTGAAAGACCTCCCATGGCTGCATTGTCTGGAGAGCTCTGGTGGAGGCTTCAGAGCTGTACTTCCACCTCAGTGGAGAACAGGCTCTCATTAACAGCCCTCGGGGAGGGCGAGCATCGCTGCTGCCTTCAAAGGAGGCACGGAGGTACCGAGCCAGCTGCTGGCCCCCAGTCGGATGGAGCTCTGCTGAAGGCATCAGCAAGATCAAAACATCAGCTGTGGAGAACAGGAGGGATGCAGGTATTGCTCCAGGAGGCAGGAGCTGCCGTGGCTTTGTGGCTCCTGGCGAGCGGCGATGGTACCGATCGCAGGCCCAGCTCTTGGGAGGGTTTCCATGCAGGTGCTGCTGGTTATCCTAAAGTTCTCCTAGGACTGCCCATGCCAGTGGCAGCTGCACCATCTGCAGAAGAAATGTACCCTCTGTTGCTGTCAAGTGAAACCATGCTGAGGCTCAGGAGCCAAAGCCTTCGTCCCCCTCCTGACCTCCTCCTCCCTGAACACCTCTGCCAGGCCCTCTGTCTCCTCCCTCAGAGCTGCACCTTGGCAGATGAGCTCCAGATGGTCGGGTGGAACCTGGCCAAGCACGGGGGGCTATCAGCAGTGCTGGGGATGACTCTGGGCTTCCTGCTGGGAACTATGTGGAGATCTGCTGGCTTCTTACTTTAGGCCTCTAAAAAAGTGCTCTCACAACTACTTTTGGCTTTCCCTTTAGCCTAATGAGTTCTTCTCCCTTTTCCAAAAAGTCTGAGGCCAGTCAGTCCTAAACTCTCCCCAGCATCTCTTTGTCTGATCCCTTGTCTGGAAGTGTATCCGAGGAGTGCGGTGGGGTGGAGGAAGATTGGACTTGGGCCATCCTTTGGCTCCTGCCATGAGTGCATAAACTTTTTATCTTTTCAATGTTACCATTAAGGGGAGTTGGGAAAAAAAAAAAAAAAAGAAAAGGAAACTAAACCACAAACAACTGCATTAAAATAATAATCTGAGCCTCATGAAAGCGCACAAAACCCCAGCAAACCCTCTGTGCTTTGAAACTTGAATCTTATCTCCCCCTGTCAAGGTTAATTGTTGCTGGGTTCAAACCATGGACAAGCTTTCATTAAGGGTGGAGATGGAAGCCATGGCTGGGCTGGGTGCGTTGGAGCAGAGTTGAATTTGGTCCAGTCTGTTAAGGAGGCAGGCACATCTGTAGCTACACAATTTCATTAGAGTTGTTGCATTTAAGGCTGGTCTTTAATGCTTCTGGACCGTCTTCTCCCAGGGTTATAACCTGTGGAGCTGTTTTAAAGGTGGTCACTTAATTTCTTTCCATATAACTTTATTTCTTTCCGTATCACATTGAAGACTGGAGTACTGCAGTGTGATCAGATCTTCAGAGCTCAGGAAGAACTGATAAACGTTTCCCTTTATAAAGACCCTTTTTGTTTATGTAGTGGGGAGCAAGTAGTCTGTCCTGGGAATCAAATCCTCCTCATTTCTCACTTAATCAACCTTCCAAGAGCCAGACACTTCTGGTTTTCTCTTTTTTTTTTTTGGACTGCTGCAGAGTTACTATTGCAGCCCAACCCAGGTTTTCAGGATCCCAGCTCTTCTGGTTGTGGTTGTTGCTCCTGCAGCTCATGTTCTTCTGAAGGGATGTTTGGAGGAAATGGGCTTCTAAGAGCATTATCAATGAGAAAAACACATCACAGCATTAAAAATACATTAATGAAAAAGGGGTAATGAGTATTGGAAATAGTTTTATACCTCCTTGAACTAGAAAATATAAAGATACATCAATAAAATGACAGTCTTCCCCTACCCCCCAACAGTCATGGCTAGATTAATTTGGGAGATAGTTCTTCAGATGCAAATATGTTTGGATTATGGTTCTGCTAGGGTAAATTAAAGAACTTGTTTGATGCCTCCGTCTGGTCAACCTTGAAAGGGTTGTCTTCACCTCTGCTCTGTTTCCTGGGATGCTCAAGCAAAAATAAGGCTGAGGAGATATTGGATGAATAAAAAAAGTGTTTATTTTCTCACTTTCAGCCATTTTTATGAGGTGGGTGAGAGAGTTGCTTGTGCCAGTGCTGGAATCTTTCCCAGTGTTTGCGTTAGAAGAAGCAATAGGGAAAACAAGATTGTTTTGGAAATAACAGTGGTCTTTTTTTGTTGTTGATGACTTTTATAAGAACTCTGCATATTTCTAATACCGAGTAAAATTCATTAATTCCTCTCCAAACTCCTTTCTCCCAGCTGCACAGTAGCTTTGCGAAGTGGTGGTTTTGTAGGGCTGAGCCTTGGGTGGTTTCTGGGTTCTCCTGGTGTGAAGAAGGGGAGCTGTGGAGCTCTGGGATGTGCAGCCAATGTCTTGAAGGAGCCAGTGTCCCAAAAAAGAGTCCGAAGTGCTGCAGGATTGGCTGTGCAGGATTCCTCCTTGGCTGTTTTGACACAAGGACCCCTCAGACACGGCTAACACGATGTGGCCAGCCGTGACTTGACATGATTGCTTAGCATTCCATCCCCACCTTTCCCCCAGCCCACTCCTTTCCTGTGGCTTGTTTTCATTTCCTTGCTAATTCAAGCATGTCTGATGTTAGCAGGAGGAATTTCTGAGTGGTGCATAGGTCAGGGAGAGCTGACTGGGACTGGATTTTACAGGTGATGTTCATGTGTAGAGGTGGGGGAGCAGAACAACAGAAAGGTCAGGGAGATGGGAGCCGGGAGAATTGCTGTTGTGCTTGGTGGGGAAGCCTGGGAAGGGGAATGCAGTGGTGGAAATGAGGTTAAAACACTTATAAATGGTTCAGTCCATGGGGATTTGTGTTACTTTCTGCTCTTGGAGACACAGGAGCGCCCGCTCCCTCTCTGTGGTCACCACTGTGTGCCCTCACGTGCCATCCCTGGTCACACAGAAGTGCTGGTGATAAGCAGGTGTCCCCTGCTGGCATGTGGGAATAAGAGTCTGCTTTCCTTGGGAATGCTTTCCTCAAAAACTGCTGCAGGCATTTTGTGGGGCTCAGCCCGTTCCCCTGTTGCTGTGGCTGACAGAAACCAGACCCCTCACTTTTGTGTGGACTCTATCCACCAGCAACCAGCTGGTGCTGGTATTTGATATCAGCTGGGAAAGCCATCAGGAAGCTTTGGTTGTTCTTTTTTCCTTTGCTTTTGTTAAAAATTTCCATCACCTTCTCAGCCTTGGTCTCCACTCTCTGCTTGGTCTGTGTGTTCCACGTGGCCCCAGCAGGGACCCACACAGTGCCAAGCTGTAGGAACATCCCTGATGTGTCACACCTTGGGCAGTCTGAACTTGGCAGCATTTCTATCAAACTGGAGAAAAAGCTTTGGAACAGGCATTTTTTTCCCCAATCAAATGCATTTCCATGCCTGACAGTGGGTACATGCTCAATTTATTAAAAGCAGTCCTTAGAAAGCTACAAGCTGTAGCTTTTAAATTTCTTGTGTGTTTATTTTTATGAAAAAGACAAAAAAAACCCCACACCCCATGTTTTCTTCATTAATGGATGGTATTTACTTCAAGTACAGCAGAAACCTGATGTTGAGCTTCAAACTAAGTAAATCTCCATTTATTAAAGCCCTGAGTGCCTCTGTTTCCAGATTTTTTCACGGTACATTTAGGCTCCGTGTCGGAGACCCAAGGCTGAGCAGCCTGAGCTCCGATCCAGCCGGAAGGGATCTGACAGTGGCTCTGATTTTTGGGCTGCATTAAAGGCTGGTGCCATGCAGGGGTGTGAAAAGCCTTTCATGTGGCCACAGGAGGACTCTTCAGAGGCCAGCCTGTGTGGAGGAAAATCTGGGAGCAAGGCAAAGAACAAGGATCCAGCCTGTTAGAGGCAGGAGATAAGGTTTCATATCTGGGGGCTGGTTCCTGTGCTCTAAAGCAAACAAAGCCTCGGGTTTGACTTTGTTCATTTGGTTTTGCCTTTTCTGGAAATGTGCTGCTCTATCAAGCAGTGCTGGAAACCTCCAAAATCTTGGTTTGCAAGAGGACACTTGAGCAATTTTTGAGAGATTTCTGTGTGAAATCCAGTCAGCTGAGGAAGGGGCCTCTTTCCACCAGTGTCTCCAGTTTATTACCAGTCTGAGGTGGAAGGAGAGGTGGCACTTACCTCCAGCTGTGCTTCCTAAGCTTTGCATCCAGCTCAGTGTGACCATAAGCCTTGCAGACACCATCATTAGCAGATAATTGTCCCCTTCTGGAATCAGCAGAAGCCTTTGGACTTACCTTTGATTTTGTACAGCATCAAATGGGTACTGAAAGGCTTTCCCTCTTCTCCAGAGGTCCTTAATTCCAAAGGATCTCAGGATGAGATAGGTTAATAGTGACAGTGAAAATCTGTGCCCTTAGAACCTGCTGGATTAAGGTGGGTGACCCATTTTTAGAAGAGAGGAAAGCAATTTCTCCCCACTGGTACAGGCTCTGTCAGGCCCTTTTGCAGTATTTTAGTCCTGGTTTTATATTAACTAGAACTGGAAATAAGGAAGCCAAGAGTTATTCCAGCAAGGGGTAAAACCACCCCAACCAAAAGCTCCAGAAGGCATTGACATCTCCCTGCCTCTCCCAGTGTTCAAAGTGTCCACAGGAATTCTGTGTGCTGTGGGAAAAATATGTCAGGAAATGAGCAGATGCCACAGGTGCTGGTCCTGAGGAGCTCTGCCCTCACCTTTCCTCCCTGAAGCCATCTTCCTCTCATGGAATAATGAGGGCTGCTCCTAAATAAATCACATCAAATTCCACACCTTCTTCCCAGGCACAACCACCCCGGAGTGATAGGCATTAGCATAAGCAAAGCTAATTCCCTAACTTATCTCCAGCGTGCCGTATAATTGATTTCATCAAATAAAATCTGCCTAATAAAGCTCTGGAAGTGAAGGGAAAGCTACAACTTAATTGTAGTTCAGCCATGAATCAATTCCTCATCTCCTGTCTTGTGTTCTGACAATTCCTGTGTGTTGGTGAGGGCCAGAAAAAAAATTGACATTTTACAAATATTTCTGTCCTCTGGATCACTGACATTTTACATCCAGACTGAAAATGAAAGGACATTTTGCAGATTGGATCAGGCACAGTAAGGAAATGTCTGTGTCCTGCAATGTCCTGCAATGAAGAGCTTTATCCCTCCATAAAGCTAAATACGAATTTTATCTGTAAATTTGTATTTTAGTTCATCCTGTTGTTCACCCTGAACACAGAGTTGGGGGGGGGAAAAGGGATCAAGACTAACTTATTTTATGATGTCTTTATTTCAGAGACACAATAAAAATGTAATGCAAAATAAGAAGTTACAAGCTCAGCCCTCGTTTGCAGAGTGAAGATGTTTAGAAAATATTTTGGATAAAACATCTGCAGTAAAATCCTGCAGTTATTCACTCTGAAAGATATCCAGCTTTTCTTTGTTTTCAGTTTGGAACTAAGTGTCATATCCAGGAGGAAAAAAAAAGAAGGATTGGACCACATTGATGCCACATTTTCTGGGATGCCTGGGTAGCTGGAGAGTGGTGGACGCTCTGGGTGAGCAGGTGCTGCATAGGCATAAATTACCTGTGAAAATAAATGTTGTAGGAGTCCAGCCCAGTCAAAGTGCAACATGTAGGGTTTTTTTTTCCTCAAGATGGAACTGTTTCCCTTTTGGGAATAGCTTGGATCTCTCCAGAATGCCGGCTGCTTTAGTTCTTCACCTTGTCTCAATTTGTTGTTGCTTTCCATGACCAGAGAAAATTCAGGAGACATTTTGGCCTCGTAAGAAGCCTTAAGCTCTTCAGAGGAAGATGCTAAGGGAAGTGGTGAAGTGACAACTCCTGTCTCCTCTCCTTAATCCTGTCAGCCTTGGGATTTCAACATGAGCTGCTGAGATGGGAGCATCATCTTGATTTGGAGCTCCAGTCCAGGTGGGTGTTGAACATGCCAGGTGTAGCAGCCTGGGTTCAGCAGGGATTATTTAAACATGGCAGGCTTTTAATTCTGGGGATGCCTTTAAGCTGAGAGGCAGCAGTGATCAGGGAGGGAATGGATGGAGGAGGAAAAAGGAGTGTGCTGTCCAGAGCATTGAATCTCCCTCATCCACCATCCAAGCAGAGCTGGGCTTCACCAGAGATACCTCTCCTTCCTTTCTTTGTTTGCACAGCTGGGTTTGAAGCACGCTCCTGTAGCACATACATTCAGAACAAATATTATCCCTGTCCATCCTCCCCCTGGTATTCCTTGTGTGCAGGATCAGTGCTTGCAGCCCGTGCCTCGAATCCTGCAGGACGCTGGAGCCACCCTGAGAAACACGGCCTTGAAACACACCCTTCCCCAGTCCAGCCAGCAGGACACTGGGAATGGGGGCTGGAAGGTACCTTCAGCCAGGTGGGGGATCCTGAGAGAGGTTTCAGTCTGCAGGGAGGAACAGCAAGGTGTGACAGGGCTGGCTTTGTGCGGCTCATTACGCTCCCGTCGCCAATTTCTAAACGGAGTCCTGGCGCTGAGACAGACCAGGTTTGCTTTTACTAAAAACAGAGGGGTGGGTTTTTTATTTTTCTTGTACCAAAGTATGTAACTTTAGATGGCCATCTCTGTGCCTGGTCACCTCTGAGATTTTAAATTTATTTTTTTTCCACTGACATTCACCTTGATAAGCTACAAAGAGGTAAAAACTACTCTGGCTTGCTGTGTCTTGACTAGTGTCTTGCTTTGATAGAAATCCTCAGGGTAAAAAAAACACCTTGTGCAGCAAAAGCAAAGGCTGAAGTGGCTTTCATGAAGCAGGCTTAGTTCCCCTGGAGGACTGACATCCCCATTTTTGAGACCTAATTGCATGAAGTCTCCTGTGATAATTTCTTAGACAGCGATGAAAAGCAGCTGGAGCCAGCCTCTGGCATTGAGGGGTACGAGCCCAGCGGGTTGGAGCAGTGTCTTGAGAGGGCAACAAAGAGATCCAAAGCCTCGGACAACAGTGATCCTGTCGGATGTGGTTAAAGCCTCTCTTCATCCATTGCTAGCACAGGTCCCTGGGGGTGATCAATATTAAAATGCTTCCCTTGAAGGTGTGCTTCCTGTGCAATTTGGGACGATATTGTGATGATAAAGGAGTGCTTTTGTGTTAAGTGATTGTGTGTTTGGAGCGGAGGCAGTGTTTGTGAGAGCCCTGAGTCTGACACGGGGCTGATGACATCAGCCTGGCCACACAGGGTGATGGCAAGGACCCATCAGCACACACCTGTGCGGAGGGACCACAAACCAGACCCCCTGCAGCAGGAGCCTGAACATTTTGTGTTCCCCCTTTTCACTCCACATTACAGGATCAGGTGAGGCTGTGCTTGCTCCCACTTCCAGCGTTCCCATTCCTTGCTTTCCCAGTGATCCAATGCCTCAGCCCCCGGGCTCAGCTCGTAGCAGTGTGTGGGGTATTGATTCCTGCTCCACAGAACGATAGCCTTCGAAGGATGGCTGGGCATAATGAGCTGGGCAGCTGCCAATTGTTCCATGTCACCAGCAGCTTGTGACTCTCCGTGTGTCAAAGCTTTGCTGCCCCTCAGTACTTCAGATGGCTTTGTGTCTGTAAGAGCAGGCACAATGTCTCAGCTTCTTGGGGTGCACCTACATCTTCTGAACCCTTTTTGAAGCTATTTCTGCATTTGATTTGGCAGCCTAAAACTCACAGAAGGGAAGAACATAGGTTTGGAGGCACGCAACCCCTACGTTTAACGTGGACATCACAGCCCCCTCATAAACCCTAAGGAACAAGCAGTTTTGAAAGCCCTCTGCAGAATTGATTTATCATTTTCTGCAGCATCAGCATCGCTTTGAAGAACAAGGGGCTTTGTAATGTAGTTGTACATTATTCCTAAAAGTGCCTCGTGGGAGTGGATGATCGCTCAAGATGCTTTATAATTTATTCCTTTTCACGTTTTTCAGCTGTGCAGTAAAACATTTGTGAATATCCCGGAATGAGGGTCCTTCCAGATGGCATTGACATGCACCAGGCTCACATGAAAACTCTCACATCACCTGCAGTAAGGAGAAAAAGAAGGGTAGGAATGAGTCTCAGAAATTCCCGAACTTACGTGGTTCAGGGTTTGAAACTCCTGAAAAGGTTTTAAACGCGGTAATTTTGCTTCTTGAATCCTCTTCACTCTCAGTAGTGTTGTTTCTGTTTAAGTACTTGATATGCTGGTTGATGTTAAGCTGGTGGCATCAGATCCTACAGGATTCCAAAAGCAGCTGTCCCAAAGTGTGAAGTTCCACTTGTAACTCGGAGAAGACCTCAATGACCAAATGTTTGCAAGGGATTACAAGCCTCACTGGCCTCTTGCTGGTGAAAGCAGGCTTATGTCATCCCAAATGCTTTTTGAGAGTAAATAAATGGCTTTGTGCTCTGTTGACTTCAATGACCTCGAAAACACTCGTAGCCATTTAATCTGGCTCATTCAAGTTCTGTGTGCATTTGTTATGGGGATGTAAGCACTGGTTGAAATCTTACAAAGATAAGTTTTTCTTGAGTGGGAAGGCCAAGAGACTGCAGCTCAGGTAGTAAACAGAGAGGAATCTTTATTTCTGGCTCCACACTGGGATTTCTAGCTCACTGCTCCTCCAGGCTGAATGCCAGCGAATCCTTGAAGGTAAGGCAGGGCGTGGTGGTCATTTGACAAAACAAGTCTGGAGGGGTTGAGATGCCATCAGCATATCCCTGTCTGCTTAAATGAGCTGATGCAGAGCTAACAGTGGTGGTATGACTCAGGGTATGAAGTAAATACCAGTCACTGCTGAATGGTGATCTCTGGAGCACAGGAATTGTTCGTGGCATGTTGCCCTGAACTCCTGGGCAGTCCCAGGAGTTACTGATAGTTACAGCCCAAACAGAGTGAGCAGCACCTTTTGCTCTGTGCAAACACACTGTGAGACCAATGCTGTGTCCCAGGGACTGCCCTAAATCCATCTTTGGTTTACTCTGACTTCCCAGCTTTTCCAAGACACAAGGAGCTGTTCTGGAGCAACTGATCATGAGCACCAGATGCTTGTCCTACCATGGCTGGACATCCCTGCTACCCAAACACCTGTCTGTGCTGATAAATACTGCATGCCAAATCCTGAAGGATGAGCCAAAATGTCTTGATAGCCCGGGAAAGCCCCGAAAGTGTGTGTAACGTCTGTTTTGCAGGACCAATCATCATGTGTGGGCCTCTTGCTCAACAATGGATTGCTCAGTGAAGGTCTTGCAGAGTGGTTGGAAGTGCCTTTTGCCCTCTCCTTCATCCATCTGGCCATTCATAGCTTGTTGGGGAATCCAGAGGATTTAGAGGGACTGGCAGAAGTGGCAGCTGGCCTGGTGGCAATCCTGCTGTCTCCTGGTTCCCTGTAATAACCCATAAATAACCCATAAATAAAAACCCCTCGCTTCTGGAGCCAGCGGTGGGTGTGTGCTGATTACAGTGCTGTGCTTGACTCATCACTGCAGCTTGGCTTCAAAACCAAATGTATCCTTTTCTTTTTCATGTCAAGAGCATGATTAAGTCCTCCTGTTTCTGTGCAAGAGCCTGGAGCAGCTGCCTCCATCCTCCTCTGGCTGGACTGTGTTTCTCAGGATGCAGGAGGGATGCCAAGGAAGCAATGTCTCTCGTGGGAGAGGGTTGGATGAATCATGTTAAGGGAGCTCCAACAGAAAGTTTCACCCACCAAGGGTGGGGAACAGCAGCTGATCCAGACCAAATGATGACTTAACCTTGAAAATTAAGACGTTCCTTCAATTTTTGACGTGCTGGAAAACTGAAAATATTTCCGTGACGATATTTCCGTGAAACCCAACTTTTTTTTTTTGGCAGAAAACCTTTCTTCTGCCCAAAGTCTGCCTGTTGGAACGCTCCCCACCAGCTCTATTGGTGGGCTGGGAATTTTCCAGGACTAGCCTGAAGTTTCAATTAAGGAGTTGTTTGGGGTTTTTTTTGGTTTATTTATTTGTTTGCTTTTCAGGCAGTCAAGCAAAACAACTGCTGGCAAGAACTTTACTACCCGATTCATCCCTATAAAATTTTCTGCAAAGTGAGAAGGCATTTGCTTTTAAAACTGAATATCCTCTGCTACTCCCAAGTAAGAGTTAGTAAAGGACTTAGAGGTGTTTGTTTCATTTTGGGTGCCTAATTGGTTCTCAATTTGTTTCAGATGAGCCATGTTAAATTTACCTCGTGACCCTGTAATTACAATCTGTCTTTCTATCCCTTAAATAGCCACTCTGTCTTTTCAAGCATTATTTTGGTTCACCTTCCTGGCATCCAGTTTTAAGTAAACATTTTAAGCTCTGAGGATTGTGGTTCTCTGCTTTCCACTCTCCTGGCTTCCTTGAGGACACCAAGGCCTCCACCAATTTCCACTCATGTGCTTCAGATCAGCTCCAGATCTCTTAGTGGCCTTTTATTCTGGTAGAGAACAACTTTTTGGCTGTTCAGCTAGTGGAAAGGGGCCCCGGGGAATCTCCTTTTTCTCTTTGACAGTAGAAATCAGGCACTTTCTTTATCTTCTGTGCCTTGGTGCAGCTGAAAGGTGCTGGAGCAGATCCTGGAAAGGGAAGGTCCTGCAGAAAGAGGAGAGCATGGGCCCATCCTTCCTGGAAAGGGTGGAGCAGGGTGGCCTCTGGCTCTTCAGGATGTCATGGAACACCACCCATCAGATCCTGGGGATGACTTCAGACTGGCTTGAGGATGGAATACCACCAAGGAATGACATTTTACTTGGATTTTTAAAGTCCTAGGCAGAGCTTCTGCTCCAGGTCTAGTTGGTGACTGAGTTCATAATTTTGGCTTTCACTGCTTGGCCACACACAGTGTGCTTTGAAATGGGACTGTCCATGAGGCAGTACTGGAGTTTTCCTGACCTCCTCCTCCTTTCCTGCATTTCTTGTGCTCCTTCAGGCTTTATTGCACTGGTCAGGAAAGGTGGAGTTGAAATAACCACAGCTTTACTTTGCAGACTGCTGCATTAAAAGGGTCTGCGTAACTCCCATAACATTTCTGTCAAGCTTATGACATTAAAACCAGAAATTCTCCCTCTTTTCCAACTGGTTTTAGTGGTGTGAGCTGTGCAGAAAGGACTCACATTCTGTGACTGCAATGCATTTGGCACCTGAGCAGAGAAGGGGCAGGTCATGGATAAAGACTGGACAGGTCTTCTCCTTCTGGGACCTCTCCTGATAGCTGGAAAATCTCCAGGGTTGGATTTGCTCAGGTTTCTGCTGTTCTAAGTGGAACTGACGTATAAAAAGAAGTGTTAAGATGGTTCTGCAAACACAGAGGGGTTGAGAAGTTCAGCTGCTGTGATGATGGGTATTTTTTGGGAAGGAAAGATGTGTCCATTAAAAACCACTTGAGTTTCCATAATGCTTAGACCTGCCTCAGCAGAGCAAATCCTTACCAGCTAGGTGAGAAGTGATTTTACAAGGACACATAGAACAGGGCAAGAGGGAATGGCTTCCCACTGCCACAGGGCAGGGATGGATGGGATATTGGGCAGGAATTGTTCCCTGGGAGGGTGGGCAGGCCCTGGCACAGGGTGCCCAGAGAAGCTGGGGCTGCCCCTGGATCCCTGGAAGTGTCCAAGGCCAGGTTGGACACTGGGGCTTAGAGAAACCTGGGATAGTGGAAAGTGTTCCCTTCCCACGGCAGGGGGTGGGAATTTGATGGGCTTTAAGGTCCCTTCCAACCATTCCATGATTGTCCCTGAGCTCTCCAAAATGAGCAGTGGCAAATATCTGCAAAGCCCCTGTGCAGAGACTGATCTGTGTCTTTTTTCTGTCTGAAGGAGAGACAAGTAAAGCCCTTCCCAGCACTGGTTTTCTTCGAGATGGCATTGCCTGGCTGTGAATATTCATGTGCAGCTTGTTTCTGCAGCAAAAGTGTGAACAGGGCTGTGGTGCTGCTAATTGCAAGTGAAAGTGTTAATTTTCACACAGTTGTTAAAGAAATCCCAATTCGTGAAGATTTCACTTGAGTCAGGGGTGAAGTCCCTGTCACTTTTTAAAAGCACAGATGGGAAATGCTGAGTTGGAATATTCAGCCCCTGTTAAAATACTCTAGTCCATCACAAAGATTCCCAGGCTCTCTCAGCATGTTACTTTGTCAAACTCACCTTTTTTTTTCCCTGAGAGAGGTTGGAGTCTCGACTTATTTTTCAACTTTCTATTGCAGCTTTGTTTAGTGGAGTTTATACATTCTTAGATCAAACATTATACAATCTGACCAAGAATCATGCAATCACAGTGGGAGATGGGAAGAAACAGCATAATTTATTTTATAAACAAAGGCATCATCCACATTAAAGTACCACTTGGTTAATAAAATGGGTTTTAATGCAATAAAAAAAATAAATATGCAGCTTTCCCTGAGCTGTGTTTAGAAATAGTTGCACTCAGATGAGGAATGTGGCACTCATGTCTTCCCACAGAGGCTGCCTTCATCTCCTGAAAGCAGCTACCCTGGCTGGTTTTGTCTGGGAAGGCTGGAGGGATTTGACCAGCTTCTTATTATAAAATGGAGTAGATAATGAATGCCAGCAGAAGGGCTAAACTCCATTTAATATTTATCTGGAGATGAACCATCTGCTCTAGGTTGGAAAAGCACAAAAGCTTTTGCTAGGAGAGCTCTGAGGAGGCTAAGCAGGGACAGAAAGAGGTGATGTCCAAGCATCAGCAGATGTTGTCATTACCCACAGCTTGTTCTGGAGGATGCATTCATTAGATCCTCGTGGGACAGCTTTGCTGGTGAAGTTGGAACTTTGGGAAAATGGCCAAATTACTGTGCTTGGGCCGCTGGGTGGGCAGAGGCTCCTGAGTGTTTGCTGGACAAGCAGCCTCGTGGAGGAGCTGGAAAATTTGCTGAGTGGGGTTTGTGTTGTGGGGAAAGAGCTGGTGGATCAAGCTACTGCTTCTGGAGCTGAGCCCTGGGAAGGAGAGTTGTGGGGATGTCCATGTTTTCTGAGGGTGCACTGCAGTGCGGGTAGAGATCTGGACCAAAACTTGCTTTATCCAGCAAACATTTTGACAGCTCCTGGAAGAGGAAAAAGGCTGACTTTAGTGAAGGTAGTGGTGCAGTGAGGCAGGAGAAGATTTCATCCTGGAGCTGCAGTGAGTACAACCTGGACTGTAAACCAAAAGCTACAGAGAGTTTTACACACATGTGCACACAACAGAGCTCAGAGCCCGGCCACTGAGACCCTTCCTTGGGGATCCATATAAATTACCTCTCACAAAAGCTGCCCTGTGTGCAAGCTGAGGAACTCCTGCTAGTGACGTTAAAAATGGTGAAAAAATAAAAAATAAAACATCCCACAACCCCTTTTTCACACACATCCAGGTGGTGTAAACTCTTATCTT